GCCCGCAGCTGCCGCGCCGCCGGGGCACGGCCACGGCCACGGGGAGCGGCGCCAGCGCCGCGGCCGCGCCGCGCTGAGGGACCCGCGCGGGAACCGCTGAGGCCGCTCCCGCCCGCCGGGCAGCCGAGCCGCCCCGGCCCCCTCCGCGGTAGCGCTCCTTCCTTTACGCATTCTCCTGTCGCTCCTTTCTGAGCCCGCGCACTTCTTCCCAGCTCCCTTTCCCACCGCACAGAAAGGCAGCCGCAGGCTCCGGCTGCTTTCCCGAGGCACCGGGACGGACACCAGAGCGGGATGTCCCGTCCGCCCCCTCAGCCCCGCTCCCGCTCCGCCCCCGGGAGCCGGCCAGGACTCCAGCCAAGGCGGTGGATTTGGGAATCTGGGAAAACCGGTAAATATGGCAACGCACGTAACTGTTGTTATGCTCTAAAGATTTCAGTATGAGACAGGCACCTAGACAGCTCTTTCTGAGATGTACTGCAAGTTTGTTTTTGTAAAATCGATGTGATTCTTTCAGCATTTGAAGTAGCTTTTTGAAGTGAGCTCCCTGAACACAGGTTCGTTTGTGAAGAGCTGACAGGTGTCTCATTGCGCACACACACAGACACCAGGAGCTGCTTCCTTTCCCCGAGGTTACCTAATCTCTATGCTCCAGCTTTCCCTGGCAAACTTCTGGATGATGCTGTCTGTGGAAACTGTTAAAAAGGAAAACACATATACCTTTGTGGATCCAGTTTGGATATTTCGTTTTGAAAGCTCTTTAAGGCCTGTTTTGACAAAGGCCTCTGCCTGTGTTAATGCATTTGATAAAATACAACGCGATATGGAGACCGGTGTTGTCCATCTAACCTTGTCACCTCTTCAGTTACCAGTTTGTTGTGTTTCTCTTACACTGATTTTTGCTGAAATGCGATTTCACAGCCTCTGCTAAATACAAAATGACAGATTCTCTGTGGCATTTGGAAAGGAGACAGCTCCTCACACTGAAACTGCAGTGGTGAGTGCTGCGGCCCCATTCCTCCCAGGAATGGTCTTAAAATCCTTATATTTTCTTCTCTGTTGCTTGACCACCTTCTTCCTTTTTTCCAATGCAGTTGCTGTTGTTTTCATGTTGATGTTACTCAGTGCTCTGTTTGCTTTTTTGGCACAAAAGACTGGAAAGAAGGTAATTGTTTTCTGAATCCAGGGGCATCCGCAAGCAGTATCACCTAAACTGTGCTTACTTGAGAAGAAGAATGGACACATGGGAACATATGAAATTTTGTCACAGCAAGTTTGTTGTGACAAACTTGTGTATTATTTGTGTATTAACACAAACTTAGCAGCTCTCTTGAGGATATTTGAATGATGGGACAATAACAAGAAAAAGACATACATGACAGGTATAACATAAAAGGCCCTCTGGCTGTATTTTATAATGCTCAACACGCTTGCCTTATCTGATGATGTTTGAGTTTCCACAGAAATTGCTTTAAGAGTAAGGGAAGAATTTCGATTTTTCTCAAATCTAAGAGCTTCTAGGTGTCTGTGATACAACAATGCATCTACAATTCCTATACCAATGTTTAATTTTTCTAAATAAAAAATCCCCATCATCACAGAAAAGATTCTTATCAAGGTCGGGATTGGACAAAAACAAGGAACAAGGCCTGAAAAGGAAAATTTAAAATATTATCTTGACATCTTGAAAATTTATCAATATCCTGAAAACAGCTTCAGCCACTTGCAAGGACCTGTGAGAAAGTGAGAGAAGTTTCCTTGAGTCTGAGGCTTACAGAGAGCTTCTTCCTCCGTCTTGGAGGCAGTTTTCCTCTGAGTGATGGCATCAGAAGGATGGGTAGGGCTAGCAAGGAAACATGGACATACAAGATATGCAAGATTTGTTTTATCAACACTGTGCACACATCTTGGAGAGTGAAGGAGCCACTATAACCTTGTTGTAATCTCTCACCCCAATCAGAGCAGCTGTGCTTCAGCTAACTTTGTAGAAGGAAACTTCGGCAGCAAATGTAGACAACCACAGCTATACCAATACTGGAAAATATTCTGGTTCACTTCCAAAATAAAGCTAAACCAAGGCCCACCCAAGGGTAAGACCCTGTTCAACTATAAAATAATCCTTAGGCTGGAACTCACAGAGGAGGATGCGCATTACCACTGCCCACCACAGCTAAAGGAACTGAAGACACTTGGTAAAGCTCAGTACGGGGCCCATAGGCAAAAAACCCCAAACTTTAAAATAAAAACTTAGGCAACTCTTCTCCCCTGTTTTTGGCTATGGAACACATTAGTCTAGAATTAAAGCAATAACCTGTTTCAGAGTTCAATGTCCAAACCATCAGATAACTGGAACTTCTGGGCTTCTTCCCTTGTAAAATAGCATGCAAATTAAATCTGAAATGCCTGTATTTTATATAGACTACATTTTAAATGCAAACATGTATAAAAATACTATGATGTACAAAACTCCAGACAGCTATCCTTATGCTATGCATCAATTCCAGAGAACAACTGGAAATCCCTTGGAAAGTTTGATGTAATTACATCTGACTGTAAATCTTTAACTGTTTTAAGATACTCAGGTGAACTAAATAGCATTACACAGAATTTTAATTTAAAGTAATTAAGACACAGTATTTGTCTCAAGATCAGTTTCTCTGAGAACTTACTGCTCAGAAAAGTTCTGTATGCCTTGCTTTACAGCCATAGTCTTTGTATTCCCACATTGTAAATACTCCATGGTAAACTGCAATGGAAACTTGGCTTAGCTCAACTTCTCCTGGCTCTGTGATGCTGCTTCTTGGTTAAGAAAATGGATCTAACTGTCAGTTTTTGGCATCTATGCTTTACTTTAGAGCTGACTTACATGTGTCCACTGCTAGTTTAATGCTGACTTCTCTTCAGTGCGAATTTCTGTCATGCTCAAACAACTCATTACAGGCAAAAGGGATGTGTTGCCAATTGTCATTTAAAATGTCTTGACCAAACAATCTTTTAAGAGTTGTAAATGAAGATGATGGAACATCCTGCCAGCAATTTCAATGAGGTTTGCTTGAACCAAGTTGCTCCTTTGCTCTGGTGTTGTGCCAAGCCAAGTTGTCTGAGCATGGCCTAAAGCTGCCCTTCCTGGAATGGCTGGCATTCACATATATTAGCTTGCTTCACTTATATTAGATGGGAGGTGTGATGTCATTAGAGCATTGAATTTATTAAACAGCAGTGGAGATCAGCCACGTTGTTCATGTGCAGTGGGTGCCTGTTCCTTTGCTATTTTCTCAGGGGTTCTAGAAACAAGAGCAGGTTAGAGTTAGTAATAGGCTGGATGAATTGTGGCCAGTTGTACTGATATCCTCGAAAACAGGCATTTTGTGCATTATGGCCCGAGTAAATTTGCCACTCAGTTTGTGAATTGCCCATGCAGAAATACACGTTGGACCTGCTTTTTGAAGGTAAAATTGTGATGCCTCAAAATAACACCCTAAGGCAAAAGTATGGTTATTGTGAAAATTGCTTGTAGAGGGTGTTCATGAAGTTATAGTTTGGATTAAATCTTTTGAACTTACCCTTAATTTAAGGTAGTTATAAAAAGCCATAGAGTTGTTTTCTGGAATTAGGTAGCCACAACAATATGAGCCTCCAGCAAAACTGGGCAATCACTACCCTAAACAAAGGTGTGTAAAAAGTACAGGCAGCAAAGCGAAGCTGGGAAAATATGACAAGAGGAGATCAAGATAGGAGGACGGGGGCATTAATGGTGTGATCTTGAGGACACAGAAAAACATCTGAAAGCCAGAAGAAGCCTGGGATTATGATGAAATTAACCATCTCAAGTTATTTGATTCTTTATATATGTGAGGAAATAGAATTCTATGCTTTTTATAATAAATAAAAACATGAAATTGTACTCTCAATTTCTTCTTTTAACAAAGCATTCCGTACACCAGCAAATTTTCTTTTAACTCTGAAATAAAAAAAGACTAAAGATATGAATTGCATCAGCATTCTTGTGGAGACTGCATTCAACAGCATTACTGGACTGACAAGCAGAGATAACATCTTAGCTAACCTCCAGATTCAGTCAGCCATAAGCACATTGTGAACCTTTTTTTTCTACCAAGTTGATGCTATTTTTAAAAAAAACCCACATACAGATTATTTTCAAATGAAGACATTTAAGTGTAGCGTTTCATTAAAGAAAAAAGTGACAACATATACTTTAGCTTTCTATTTCATCTTAAATCACATAACTAGATTATTGCAGTATTCTTTAAATTCAGAAGTCCCTTTCTCAAGTGGCAGCGAAAATAGCTTTTCTCGTGACTGTTTAACTTCTAAGAAAGCTACTTTTTTTCCCTCTTTTATGTCAATCCTTCCCATGCACTGTCATCATTTTACCAGAGTAATAGTCTATTTTCTTTCCTTCTTTTTCCCTTTCTTCAGTATTTTCTGTGATTTCCTTCACTAAGGGAAAAGTACTTGATCTTGCTGATCAGGGCACAACTGCTTGAACAGTGGAAGTTTTGGGAGACAATTGTAAACTAAGACTAAAGAACTGAGGGGCAGATCCCACAAACTTAAATGTCTACTTGAGAGCGATTAGGTTTTGAAGGTGGGCTTTTCCTGTGTAGAATAGTGGACAAATGCTGTATCCATATTTACAGATACTTGCATTTGATTAAGGCTATGTAAAAAAACAGATAATATGAGGAAAAAAAAGTCAAAAATAGTTTGAAGACTGGAGAAAAAACCTTTGCAGCTGAAGAGTTCAGTATGAGTAACTTAACAAAATGGGCATCATTACAGAATATACACCCTCATGCAGGTATTCAAAGCAATCAGTGACTGTACCTGGTGATCTAATGATCTCTTCTGGCTTGGAAAACATGACCTTTAAGGAAAATAGCTCTGCTTTAAAAGTGTGGGCTACCTTGTTTGTTTATTGCCAATGGGTTCAACATGGCAAGGCATCCTGTGTAGCCTGCCCTGCACCTGTTCTGGATGGGTATTCATGAGACTACAGAACTCAAAACAATCCCGAAGAAAAACAGCTTGTGGCTGCTTTCTTGCCTGAAACTTTGGGTTTCTGGAGAGACATCATAACCA